GATGGCAGCAACAGAAATATGTGGATATGTTACGCCCCTATGTTTTAGCCATGTTTAGTTTTTAAAGATCCTCATTTTTCAAAGAAATCTTTCAGATTTTTTTAGGGTATAAAAGGAATTGTTTGAAAAGAAATTTCTATGTTATTTTCTTGGCTGTATGCTAATCTCCTTATTCTATATTATTTTAAATTTTTACCTTGAAATCTTGCCTGAAATCCAATGGCGAACATCAGGTGTGCCAGAGTGGGATCACTGAGACACTAGGACCAGACCAACAACTGTATCTTTGTTTCTCTGCAGCTCTCCAGTCAGCTCATTGACAGTAGAAATGTGGGTCCACATCTGTGTTTCATTTCCTGTTTTCCTCACTCTTTCTTTTCTCTCTCTCTTTTTTTTTGGAGGGGGGGGAGAGGTTTGGTTTATCAACTAAGAAATTGTTAGAGTACTTTTCTGAAGGTCAGGGGTAATTTTGTCAGTTAGTTGTTTGGTTTTTCACTACAGCAGTTCTCCTTTATGCTTTCGCTTTCGTTCAAAGAAGTTTTGTTAGCGCTACGTTTTGATAGTTATGAGTTGTAAACTTTTATTCAATTTTATTTTATAGTTTACAATTTTTTTAATTGCAGATATAATATTAGTTTATTTTTTCGGATTTTTAATTATTTTCCAAATGGATCGGAGAGGGCTGACCATTTCTGAAGCACTAAAGTGCTACACGAATTGCCTTCAGATAGTGAATAGGATATGGATCCCGGTACATGTGCAAAATATGCAATATTGGGTTGTGCTTTTTCAAAGGTTGTGTCACTTTCTTCTAAAAGCACCATCATGAAAAGAAATAGACGAAAGTGTAAATATGAAATGTAAATGATGTAACTATCATAAAATTAAGTTACTTTTTTCATTTATACGCATGTAATCGTCATATAACCAAGAAGATCTTTTTTAGGGGGTGTGTAGAGTAGCACATCTTCCCGTGGCACACCATGGGTAATGCTAAATCTGATACGGTATTCAAAATCTAGTGTTTTTTTAATTAGGCAAAATCTCTTATTCTTTTACGCGCTTCCCTGCAATACTCGTTTCAGCACTCTTTTTGAAGTTCTATTCATTCAGCGTGCCCGACAGAAAATATTATCGAAAGTTTCGAATCCACTCAGAGAACGGAAAAATATGCCAACTGGACTGAACGGAGATTCTTAATGGATGTAGGTGTTCTCCACCTATATATCCTTGCCTCTGATTTGGAAGAAGCCCAGTTAGTCATTCCCACAGCCGAGCGTGAATCAGTCATGCGAAAGCACCGTGATGACTGGATGGCTGGAGATTATGGAAAAGAAGGAACATTCCAAAGAACTATTGTATTGGTGTGAAAAAGTATATATCCGATTATGTGAAAAGTTCTCCTGAATGCAACCACTAAAGTCTACCAACCAAAAGCCAGCTGGACTGTTATTCTTGTTTGGACCATTGCTACATACTGACACTGGAGAACAACGGATCTTCATTTTCGAAGACTGAATTATTTCCTCCTGGTCAACCAACAACGCCGACTGCGCCATAAACCTCACTGAAGAAGTATTCATGTATACCAGGAAGAAGCATCAGCGATAACGGAACCTAGTTTATTAGTGCCGTCTTACAACATGTTTGCTGCACATTAAATATCAATCAGAACTTGATACCAGTTTACTTCCCTCAATCAAATCTTGTGGAACGGAAAAACAGAAACCTAAAACATAATCTTTCAATCCTTGTAGGATATGCGTCATAACAACCGGTATTCGAAACTCCCAGTTGTTCGTTTCGCTATGAATACGAGCGTCTGCGACATCACAGGCCATACACCAGCATTTCTAATGTTTGGGAAAGAGCTGAGAACTGTCGACGACACGATTTCATAGCTCTGGTCGAAAACAATAACTTTGTTCCGGAAATCAACCTTATTTTAAACGATTCACAACAGTTACAAAGGAAAAACGAGAAGAGGTACTCTTGCACAGGAAACTAAAGTTTGCAAGAGATCCCAAATCTTCCAATTATGTCTCCTTGCCGGGACATCGGCGGAGCCAGAGGGGGAGTTTGTAACTGCTCCTGTTGTTAATATGGGGCGCAATCTAGCAACTAGGGTGCCCTCTGGTTAGTAGCCAGAGAAAAACTTTCATTTCCACAGCCGAGTGTTTATCGGCCTAACAGGTTTATCACCAGTAAAGACCAGGTAATAAACCTGTTAGGTTGTATCAGACCCCTACTCTGTAAACTCTTAAAAGTATATGTTACATTGTAGAGACATTAGGAAATTTTTTCGAAGCCAGAGAGATGAAAAATTAGCAAACGCTTTCGCCGGGAATCGAATCTCGGACCCCTGGAATACTGGCCCAGCGTGCAGAACCACTGCACCACGAAGGCACGCTAGAAAGGCGGGAGAAATACCTTATAACATCCATGTGTAACTTAACCATCGTAATACATTATTGTTACACGACAATGGACTCATTTATAAACCCATCCAAAACGCCTCCCCCTTAAACTTTCAATTCAATGCATTGAAAATTGTGTCTTCCTGCCTGTTGGCCGAATTACTCGTTTTTGCACACAAACTCTAATTTTAATTGTAAAAATTTTTTTTAAACTGTTTTTAATAGTACTTGGTGTTTTAGGTTTTTCTGTATGTTACAATTTTTAATGAAGATGCTTTGAGTTTTTATGTAATTTCTCCCCTTGCCGCGAAGTGATTACTGAATTGAATGAAGAAGAAATATATCTTTAATGAAATCCGAGAAAATAGGTTTAAATGGAGTGCAGCAAAAAATGCGTACAATTTAATAGGCCGTACAAGGATCTCACGTAGCCGCCCAGACGGTATAGTTTGTAATGGAGCCTGACCGCGATACCGAAGGGCCCACTTCGAATCCCGGAGAAGGCATGGATTTAATGGTCTGTCCTTTCATAGGAGACAAAGATGGCCCACCTATCAGGTGCCTCCATAATAAAGAGACCAGCACATCTGGCCTTGGGAGTGGCCGATGCCGGCAAGTGCCCGTCATTGGAAAAAAGATGTCATATAATACAATGGTTATCATAAATTAAGGAAAAATCACAAAAATAGCGATAACTCCCTTAAAAATAAGCCAAACCGTGTAAAATTTGAATATGTTGCCAAGTAAGAGTAGCTCAGTAAAACTGCAATATGCAAATTAGTGGCGCTGCACTCGGAATACGTCATCTGCGAGGAGCATAAAAGTCCATGTTTGAGAGCAAGCCCACATATTTCACTGTGATAGTGACATCAGAAATCTGAGATAGCCAATTCGTAACGATCACCTCCAGGAATCATTTGCCCGCAGAACTACGATGGAGAGCCATTGGGAGACTAGAGGCAGCCATTGGGAGACTAGAGGCAGCCATTGGGAGACTAGAAGTCAAACAGAAGTTGCCAGATGGCTAAATGTGAGTCCTTCAGTTGTTCATAGACTTTGGAGGCGATTTCGAACCACAGATTCGCCCTCTAGGAAATTATTTGATGTGGAGAAACCTGGAACCCGTTATCATCCGTCAAACATCCGTTAAAAATATGCATACGGAAGAGGCAGTGTCTGTGTTTGGGGTGGCATCTCTTTGGGTGGACGCACAGACCTCCATGTCTTTCCAACGGAAACCGTGAATGCTCCGGTTTATAGAGATGACATCCTTGATGCTTATGTGCACCCATGTGCCAGGACAATAGGTGATGCTTTCCTGTTACAGGACGATAACTCAAGACCACACAGGGCTCGCATCATAGATGATTATCTTGAACAGGAAACAATTATGTGCATGGAGTGGCCAGCTCAATCCCCGGACTTGAATCCTATCGAGCACGTTTGGGATGATTTAGAGAGACGTCTAGCTGCTCTCAGTCTGCCCCCTCAGACCCTTGCCGCGCTTGCAACAGCTTTGCAATAGTAATGGCTCTCGCTTCCTATGGAACTGATAGACCGCATAATTGAAAGCATCACGCATCGCTGTATGTGCTGTATTGCTGTAGAGGCGACCATATTCCCTATTGAAGGTACTTTTCCTATAGCAAACTGACACCTTCGATTTGTTCATTTTATACATGTGCTAATTTCTATACTACCCCAATTGTCTGGTTTCATTTTATATTATTTTGTACCTTAATATGTGTAGTATATTGTGGGTAAGTTTCATAAAATTCTACATGTGTAACTCTTTCAGTAATCGTGATTTTTGTGATTTTTCCTTAATTTTTGAGCTCACCAGCGGCCGAGCGGTAAAGACGCTGAACAATGGTAGTTCGGTCCGAGGTTCGAATCCCGCGAACGGGCTGGCTGCATGGGGGTTTTCGTGGTTTTCCCCATGTGTAACGTGTATACGAGCCAGTTTCCCTTAGAAAGTCCTCCATGAAGGCATCCCTCCCTATAGGCACATAGCCCTCGTGTGCTTTGCCGTAATTGAATAATCCCTAATAATCCCTTAATTTATGATAACCAGTGTATCTACAAAAACTTTTTTACGCTGTGTACATTCATTTAATCTTGTAAATCCAGAATAATAAAAAGAAATTTGATAATATTTGTAGATTTCTATAATTCTAATTTCATTTACATGAAAACTGAAATTAAGTGTTCCACTTCCTGATTTCTTTTTAATTAGTATTAAATATATAAGCAAATTAAATTAAAAAAAAAACTAAATACTTTATTTAAAAAAATGCTTATGAATGAATTTAGGTTGAAGCTGCTAGGCATGTGTCCTTTGTAATTAACAGAGATTAGTAAATCAATTATGTCACAATCGTTTTTACAGTAGAGAAATTAGTATATAACTGTTTTCAGAAACTAATGCAAATAAAAATAATTGAATTTTTGACGTTTATTTTGATTGAAATTATCTCTCTGAAGCATGTTTCTACATAGCTATCTGGCGCTTGTTAGTAAGAAACGAAAATTTATTTTATTTATTCCTTTTTTGTCTGTGTGCTGCCAATATCCGGGAAGTGCCACTGATAGGAGGAAGTTAAAGTTTACCGTTCCAAAAGCATGCAATTTTTATGAGGCTTAAGCAATGGTTAACCTTAGTTTCGCCATTTCCTTTGGTAAGTTCCCTTTTTTTATTACATTGAGACATTTCCTCAGATCCCTAGAGGTGCCCTATGAATACTGAGATAAACATTGCATAATTAAATGCTATTTTCAGATTTCAGTTGATCCAAGTTGAAAAATACTTCCCGTATGCATATAATGGACACATGCATGCGCTCATTCTCAATGAAAATTTCATGTGCAAAACATATCCTAAGAATTATTTATTTTTCCACAATTTATGCTTTTTAACACTTTGAATGAAAATTTCCAAATATTGTATTTCAAGTGCAATCTGGTCTCTTTCCGATTGTTAAAAATTTATTTGTTGCTTTGTTCAACTTCTTAATATAATTTTAAGAAATATTTTGATGATTTACGTTAAATGTTTGTGACGCAAATTGATTTAACTGGTTTTGTTTCTATTGTAAATAATATAAAATAAAGAGTTTCATAAGAATAAATTGAGTTTAATTAAAAAATTAAATTTAAATACATATTTAATTAAATATTCTTTGCGCCATTGCTGTAAGGAATGAAATTTAAATTTAAACAAATTTAAATTCTTAACAAATACGTATAAAAGTAAAAAAGTGAAAAAGCAAATTTAAATTCTAAAAAAAGGAAAAAAGCCAAAATAATTTAAAAATATGCAAATATGTAAAAGATTTAATTCTCGAACTAATCTACAATATCATTTAAATTCAGAAGCATAAGCAAATCAAGTGCAAAATCTATCCATGAAAATAAATCTACTAATTTAATAAATTAAAATTAAACAATTTTTTTAAAAAATGCATTTGTGAATGATCGTAGAGTAGGCAGTAGACAGACTTATCAAGGGGAAGTTGCCTCCAAACCTAACTCTCCAATCATTCAATTCGTGTTTCGTCATTCATGCAGGCAAGTGTAAAAGTCAAAACCAAAAGTAATTCCAATAAAGTGGTACCTTTAGAAATTAACATTTAAGTATTAACATTTAAGAATTAAAGTTCAAAAAGGAAAATACTAATTAAGTCTTTTGAGAAACAAGCAAGTAAAGTCAAGAATTAAACTTTTTCTTAAAAAATTAAATTTTTTTAAAAATTAATTTTTTATAAAATAATAAAAAAATCTAGAAACCAATGTATTTTAGAAATCCTTGTCTACAGAAACTTCCCCTACACGAATATGCATATCAATAAAAAGAAACTATAAAAGAACTATACATAATCCATATAAACCAATAAGAAATAAAAAAACAAAAGAAATAAAAAGAACTAATTCACAATTTTTAAAATTTTAAAATTTTTAAAATATATATATATTTAAAAATATAATTTCATATTTAGAAAATACTTAGATACTACATAAAAAAATTTAAAAAAAAATACTTAAAGCAAGTAAATAGTAAGTTTTAATTCTAACTTACCTACTATATGAGTGTTGGGGTCTGCAAAAGTGTTGTGAAAGAGAAGTAAGTGTGTTCTTCAAATTATATAGATGGAGCTTATGTAGGTAAAGTTGAGTGTCAAGCTGCTATCTTTGTTATAGTAAAAATTTTTTTTGTAAATATTAATATTAATTAAATTAAATTAAATTAAAAATCCTAAAGGTAGTAATATCAATTATTTAGGAAGTTAAGTAACTGATTGTTTAAATATAAAATAAAGAGGGTGCATTTTTAACTGTTTAAAATATTTATTATAAACTTAGAATATTATATCTTACAGAGCACTGCAATGCTAACAGTTATATTTTTAATACGTATCCAAACACGTTGCCATTCACAAGTTACTAAATACTAAATGTTAAATGTTGCCTTTTACAAATTGCTAAACATTAAATGCTAGAAATAATATTACATTTTGAGCATTTAAATTTTACATAACAATGTAATACATACAAACATATTTTATAAATTATTAATTCCAAAGTTTATATTACGTAATATATGAAGAATATGTAAATATTCTTAAATTTTTTTTGTCCTGTTAAAATTAAAAATTCTTAAATTATTTATTTATTTTGCATGGAATAGTTGTCTCAAACTCAAACTGCATGCAGGCCGAATGCATGATTTGAAATTACCTAACGGACCTAAATATTTTTGAACAAATATAAAGTTTTCTTTTAACAAAATATTTTTTTTTAAATTAAAAATTTTATTTTCTAAATATTTATCGAAACATACATATACAGTAATAACAATGATTCAACGGAAAATATTTAAATTAACAACTATTTTTTGACGGAAATCTAATTTGCGGTATCTGCAAGAAATTTCTATTGATTATTCTTATAATTCAAACATACTTAAGCTTACATACTTACTTACAAATATGTATTTGAAACAATTTTAATACGCTGAATTAACCACTAAATAATTAACCCTTAGGGCTCCACACGTTTTTGTACCACTGCCTACCAGCAACTCCGGCACATTTTCGCAGAGGAATGCAGCATCCAGAATATCTGCTTAAATCTCTTTCTTGTAAATATTTTACTAAAGAAAGGGATGTGACTATTCTCCTTAACTGACCAATAATCCTGCATATTCGCCAGGGGTATCTTACCCATATTGATAATAACTCCAGTAAAAGCCCAAAACTCATCCTCTTTCACCGCACGCCACGTTTTCCAAATAGAATTACTAGATATTTCTTTATTCTTTAGCACATTTTCTGCATAATTGTTGGTTTCTTTTATAATTTCATTTACCAGTTCGTTTGCGAAAAATAATTTGAAATATTGTGACGGCTGTACAATATTCGTAGGAATTTGCAGTCCAGTGACCTTTGCCGATATATTAAAATGTATTCTATCCGGAATATCTAATTCTTCTGTAACATCGCGCCATTCATCTAAGCCTTCCAGTGACTCTTCGCTTTCACTTTCAATAACTACCATTCGTCGTCTCCTTGGTAATATAATTTCGGAACCACTACTTGAAGTGTCAGAATTACAATCAACATTGTCTTCCACAATATCTTCTAACAACGAAAAATCAAACACATCTTCACTATCACTCAACTCTATATTCTCTTCACAATAATTATTTTTCTCCATGTTGCTAACCATAAAATGGGTCAAATAATGTTTCCATCGTAACAGTAGCGAGACTGAGCACGTTTTAACTACAGATAACAATTGCCAAGCCGACGATTCCGTAACATCTTAAGCCTAATCATGCTAAAAACATTGGGCTCTGCAGCGGAGCCTACGGAGTTACGAAACAAATGACGGGCGGCTCCGTAGCGGAGCCAACGGAGCACTAAGGGTTAACTTATAATATAATAAAAATAAAGGTATACTTACATACTACACCGTCGACCAGTAAAGCTAACTGCCATCGAACCATGGAAGTGGGCGGAGATACTAACAGAACTGCGCCAATCATTCCTGCAGAATTCTAAAGAAACGGATACCTATTTATTTAATAACAAATAAGTATATATATATGTGTAATAATAAAATTCCATTGTAAGAATACACTTAAAATTCTAACTGTATGTTCTTTTCATTTTTAATGGCGATGTTCTCTTACTTGAAAGTACGTGGAATTAAATCCACAGCCCCGTAGTCAAGTTGTTTTTCCCGCCTTTTCTACACGTACAGTTATAGAATGTTCTCGAGATATTTAAAGCGAACTGGATTGGCTGACGAGGCTGACGTCATTTCTTGGAAGCTCCGCTTTTCCAGAGGCTATAAAAAGACTCGCAAAAGGAATATCGGGGCTTTTTCTTAAATGTCACGATGCAGTAAACTACATACAAAAAGTTATTAGTAATTCTTTTTATTTACTCCAGATATCTGATTTTTGTAACTGCTATTTCTCCTGAATAATAATAAATGGATCCTGTTTTTTAAAACTATCGTCTGATTATTTAAGCTACGACTAAAGCTGATACATCACATATATATATATATATATATAAGTATTATTCAACCTGCTTCATTTCTGAGCTTTGTCAGAAGGCTTCCGTCGATTTCTACTATTTTGTTAGGCCTTCCGATTTCATGGGAAATCCTTTTAGAAAGCCACGAGTACAAATTTTCCCCAGGTTAAATGTTCCAATATATTCTTATTTTGTCGGACATATTCAACTGACCACATGGTGTTCATTAATACACACCTTTTTTGATGTTAAGATTGCATAACTGTGACAGTAACTGCATGCTGCTCTGTAAAAGGCAGATTCCAAATTTTAATTACTTTTTTCGAAATGCGGAAAAAAGTACAGAAATAATAGTTAATTACATTTTTGTCCATTAAACAAGAGGTGGCTTATCGAGAATCATTCGGAGTTACATCAAGCTAAAGCGCAGATATATAAATGTGTTGGTACGTCCCACATATACATAATTGGCCCTAAATCGTACTGCCTGGCTACAGTTTTGCGGTCGACGGGATAATGCGTAAGTACCAAAATAAAAAAGTTCCAAAATATTTCAGGGTGGGGCGAAACTTGAGTTTAAATAATTATAACCCATCCCTTTCTTTTATTTATCAAATTTTTCTTCGAGTTATACCGGGAAAATACATATATTTGTATGTATATAATTATAAACTACTTTTTGTCTTGCTACAAATTTCAGTTATAACACCGGACGGTGTTCCGTTCTGACTATATTTTGATAAAAGTTTTAGTGATAGTGAAAATCGAAGTGCATATCTAAAATTACATGAATGCATAGAAACACGAAAGTGCATGAATGCATAGAAGGAAAACTTTACTCCTTCACAAGATTTTGGTTACTTTTTCTGTCTTTTTTGGATTGCACAAGCTTCACTCTTTACTGTCATGATACTGTAAAGAGTTTCTGGCTAACACTGTACAGTATCAGGGCCGGTGTTAGGTATTTTGCCGCCCGGTGCAATCTCTGCGGGTCCTAAATTTTGATGGCCAGTGCATCCCTAAATTAAAAAAATGTTATCACCCTTGAATTCTGCAGCGCCTAAATTCTAAAAATTTTTCATCTGTAAATGTTGCTGCTATGTGCTTTCCAAAATTCTGAGAAATGTGCCGTCCCGAATTTTTTCCTCCTGGTGCGTCCCACCGGTTGCGCTGGCTCTGGCGCTAATCCTGTACGGCGCTAAGGAAAAGAGCATTATTTCAGAGATATTTCACTTATTTTACACTTTATACAAAAGTAATGCTTAACCTACCATAAGCGGGGTAAGTTGGCGCCAAACACTTTTCCTTTGCAATGTCTTCACATCGCTGTTTCATTTCGCAGTTGCCATTTGCAAAAAGAAAAGGCGATGTAAAATCTAACATCGCCAAACAAAAATGAAGCTAAATAAAACACAAGCACAAATTACTGCAAACTAAAACATAAATGTAAAATAAACTATAAAATGTTCAAGTCCCCAACATGAAACTAAAAATTACAAAAATGCGAATATAAATTACTACAAAAATACAAAAATAATACATACCAAATGTCTCTTTATTCGCAACCAAAAATTTTACGTCTACAAAATACGTGATACGTAATTAAAAAAAAAAATTCTTGAAACTTACTAATATGTTCACAAAAATCTTTATTTCCAAGTTAACACAAAGACCCCCAAATAAAATCATCAAAATCTTCAAAAATATCGCAATCATTTGAAATAACTTCAATCGGCATAAGATGTTCTATTCCTTCTCAGTCGGAGAACTTATAATTTTAAGTTTCAGTGCTGCTTTTCAATATCCTGGACAAACTAATTTAACATCCTCCAGAAATATAATTATTTTTTATCCTTCTGAATGGATGCACACTAAACCACTTTCGTTCAACACTTTAAACATTCCACATCTCTCGGTTGACACATGCAAGAAAAAACAAAACAAAAAATAATTAACTGACCTGAAAAATATTAACTAAATAAAATTAAATGAAAACATTCATAAATTATAAACTACACGTCATCTGAAATCCAACGTTTTCCCATCAACAACAGCTTAACCTCCTGCAAGTATTAAACAGTACAACTTTTAGAAATGAACACAATACTTCAAAATTAAATTTTTTAAAAAAGTCTTCTGGCTACACTAAACTCACATTCATTACAATCACCGAAATAAAGCTCTATGTTTGCCACAAGAAAGCATACAGCCATAAACCTCAACCCATTCGAAATCGCACCATTTATTATTATTATTTATTTTATTCGAAATCGCGCCATTATTTTATTGTCCAATAGAGTTTTAAAAAATGGCACTTTTGTGCTTAACTATAAAACAGACATTTTATGATCACGTGTAATGCAAGTATCTAAGACCCAATTTTACAACTTTCTTTGTGTTGTGCAGGTTATGTCTTCCTGGCATCTTTGACCATCTGTGAATGCCACCTTATTTTGAAGGATGGATTTGTCGGCGTTGGTATCGACTTGTCAAAATTACGTACAAATAAAGATAAATGCCCTCCCAGTGAAAACATCACATGTCCATGCAGCACCAGAGGGGCAGTTGTTACTCTCGCCGTTCCAGTGTAAGTAATATCATATCCAGAGAGATTTGTCGAGAATGCAAGGCTCTGAGCTCCTAGTAATTCTTACATAATTAATGGATAATAAATTATTAATTACGTAAGCTAATGTTTCTTCAAAGATTTAGCGATAATCTTAATATTATTGCTAATTGCTTAAAGGACAGTTTCCATCGAATGTTCTATTAAATACCGGTATAATGAAAAAATATTTCTAAAACACTCAGAAGAGATTTGTCCTAAGAAATAATGCTCGTAATGAATTTTTCAGTAGATAATTTGTTAAAAGATTTTGTACCAAAAGTGTGAAATATATTCAGATGAGATTGCTTAAGAATTTTCGGTGTGTATCTGGCTGTGATTAAAGAGCCTGTTCATGGCGAACACTAAGAACATAATTCTACCTTATGCCAACCTATATACATAGGTAAGAGAGGTAATGTTTTCAGTAAGCACGAATAAGCTCGAACTACCCTCCCCACTTTCCCCTCCCCGGGAGTCGACGCGAAGAATTCTGTGAAGCTATTTTCTAGGATCTGTACCTAGGTAGTCTAGGCCACGGGGGTATAAAATTACGATCCTGGTGGTTCTAGAACCCCAAAGGAAGATCGTTTTATACGGTTGGACTGAGGGGGGGGGATTTGTCCTGTGAAGAGAGAGGTAAGAACTCTGTACTCCGCCACGCGGTGGCCCACCTGATGAGGGTGGCTTTCTGGTGAGGAGAGAGGTAAGAACTTTGTACTCCGCCAGGCGGTTGGCCCACTTGAGGGGGGTAAGAAATCTGCACTTCGCCAGGCGGTTGGCTCACCTGAGAGGGGTGGCTTTCTGGTGAGGAGAGAGGTAAGAACTCTGTATTTCGCCAGGCGGTTGACCCACCTGAGGCGGGTGGCTTTCTAGTGAGGGGAGAGGTAAGAACTGTGTACTTCGCCAGGCGGTTGGACCACCTGAGGGGGATGGCTTTCTGGCGAGGAGAGGGGTAAGAGCTGTGTACTTCGCCAGGCGGTTGGACCACCTGAGGGGGGTGGCTTTTGGTGAGAGAGAGGTAAGAACTCTGTATTCCGTTTGGTGTGGTTGGCCCATGGGGATAAGGGTCTGAGCCCGCGTAATACTGGCAAGAGCATTTAAACGACCAGTCAGATCTCCAGGCGTGCATGTTCCCCGCCGCTGTGAAATTTGGAACAGGAATGGTGACCCCGCGCGCCCGAGAGATACCATTGTTTATGTGAATTTTCAAAGTCTGCCATCTTGTGCTGGGTCCCCGGGGAGTAGCGAAAGGTGAACAATAATCCTTTGGGGGAACAATGACTGGCGTTCCACCCCTTGTCAAATATAGGGGCTTCTCAGCTGGATCTAGTCCGCGTAGTGTCTAAATGACGGAACACGTAGGCAAATACTATTACCCTTCCCATAACAGGTTTTGGCTATTTTGACAATGATGTCTGTGTATCTGTCTACGTCTGAGTATGTGTATGTGTGTCTGAACTAGAAGTGGTACTTTATATTAAAACCCATCACAGTTTTTAGTACACAAGCGAAAGTGGTACTTTACCTGAAACTCATAAGAGATTTTAATGAAAAACCGTATTAAAATATAATCCAAAACTTTTCGGTTATAGTGGTTTTAGTTTTAGTTTTGGTAAAACTTTTATGTCAATAAGAACAAACATTTTAGATTTGGGAAAAAATTGATAAACGGGACGTGATACTTTGCCAAAACAGATTTTCGTAAAATCTGTATATTGTGAAGTAATGTAAAACTTCCCAAATCTTCTATTTAAAACTCGTATATGACTGAGAACAGCATAGTATACTTTAATTGTATATGATAAACCGGAAGTGATATTTTACAAGGAACTAATGGAAAAGTAAAAAATCTTCATAATAAGAGTTTAGCCATAAGTAATGCTTTACTTAAAGCTCGTTACTGTTTAAAATAAATAATTCAATCTAGGGTCATAAGCAAACCTTACTGCAACTTAGCATAGTTATTTATCACCAAAGAGAAAATGATAAATAAATGGGGAAGCGTACGGTGAGAGAAGGGAATTCTAGAAATCGTTGCTGGTTTCGATGCCAAACGACTTGTGCAAGTCGTCGATATGTGTGGTCATGTCTGATTCAAGAGCTTCAGTTCCTTTTACGAAATTAATCTGAGGGAACTTAAACTTCTGCAGTCAGACAAAGGACAGCGATTCAATCAAAACACCCTTTCATTGTTTATGACTTTATATGAAGGAAAATCATTAAGTAAACCGCAAAAGGCAGTTATAAAATAACCGTAGCTAGATACTCACCTGAAAACTATTTTTTGTTCCCCAGCATAGTCTTCATAATTGTTTATACACTTGTGCCGTCGTTTCATCAGTACTTCAACCCCATCTGGATATAATTCTTTGGGTTGTTTTCTCAGTTACGTTAGGTCTTCATCTTGAACCTCGTCATCATCTGCAGAAGCCTATGCCTCCAAGATGTTGTAGAGGTTACTTTAAGTTTCTAACAGTTATTTTAAGTTTAAACATGCTTTACTGTCTATTCTCGTTTCCCATCTACTATTCCCGACCAGAAAACATTTCTAAGGTGACCATCCGCGGTTGCAGATAATATTAAAAAGTGTCTATTAGCTAATAAAATTATTATAGATACTGAAATTGGACATAAAGTACTCACAAGTAAGGCCTTTCAACAAGAGAATGAGAATGAGGATATTATTCACCCAATGACACGATTTGGATTATTTTATGATTTTGAGTTTCCTTCTGGTGGCGAAATACACGTTTTGATCAGATGGTTCTGGAATGGATGGCGGAGCGGGTAGCGGTGTGGTCATTTATTTTCATGGAGTAGAAATAGACAACGTGAGAATAAACCAATGAATTCGGTTTATCAAGCAGAACTATACGCACTGACAAAGGCTTTGAACTAGATTAATAAAAAATTAACAGTTCGATGTTTTATAAATATTTATACCGATACCCTACCTGCGTTTCAGGCATTCGCCCAACCAGATTATAAAAATCGACTGATAAGTGAAATAAAAGGCTTCTTTAAAAAAGCTGAAAGAAAACATATTGTTAAATGACACTGGTGAAAGCACACAGTGGACTTGTCAGAAATGAAAGAGCGGACACCCTTGCTAAAATGGCGCACTTGGGGATGGGAACGATAATTTTGATATCGAAGATTCAAGAAAAAAGACCATTGCTGAAATGGAAAACTGGATTTATACAGAATGGAATTTTTGCTGGGAGTCGTCTAATAAGAAAAAAAGAGTTGATGAAAAATATAAAGTTAAACAAGAAGATGAATATTTTAAATTAATGTTGATATAAATCAGGTACTAACTAGTCATGGGCGTTCCCGGCTTATTTGAATCGGTTCGATCTACAGAATAATGATAAATGCTTAATTTGTGATAGGTCTGGGGACGCCAGGCACTTCATCGGTGAGTGTACGCTTACCCGGAGTGCAAGAGAGAAATATAGGAAGAGTTTTAAGGAAGATTTTAAAAGGAACTATTTAAATTTGAAAGATTTTTCAGAAACAATAATGAAGATTATAAATACGAACAAAGATAGAGTTGGAATTCAGCACTGAGATTCAGATTTATTTTGGACTTTATATGTCCCCCCTTATATATATATATATATATATATATATATATATATATAAATAGGATTTGCCAGACAGAAAAATATATATATATATTTTTCTGTCTGGCCAATCCTATTTTTTGATTATACGGCCGGCTTGTGCCGGCTAGGAGGATCAGGGCTCTGCCCTTATAATAATAATAATAATAATATAATATTCGTCTTATGAAATGCAGTTACCTTATACTGCATGCTTATTAGCGATGTTCAGTACTGTAATATAATTAGAGTATGTACCATAATAATTTCCTATTTTCTGATCTCTTTCATTGGTGGTCGCCATGAGAAGTTTCGGTGTAGTTTCATTTTTGAAATTACTGAGTGAACTTATTTAATAATACAGCTGAAATAGAGAGAGATTACATCAATTTTAATAAATGGTTTTAAAGAAACTTTAGTAATAATGTAGTATGTAATCTACCGATTTTTGTTAGCTATTGATGTCTTAAATGGCAGAACAAAAATTCGTTGTTATTTTAATCACTTCGTTTTGCTGCCATTTAACCTCAAATTCGAATTTAAAAATAGCGTTTTAGTATTGCCATCTAATAAATAATAACTAACTAAAAGCGGTAGATCGCATATTACATAATTACACAAATTTTTAATTGCAAATTTAACATCCTTTCTTACTGCGTAGATTTGTCCACTAAAAACATTCCAGATTTGCATTACTTTCCAAAAAGTACCCTGGATATTGCATTTCATTAATTGTATTCTTAAAATGTTTACATTGAAGTGCATTAACCTGTAGTAAATCTCGATGACTAAGATTGCATTCTCTATTAGAATTGCTCATTAGCATTACACATATTACTCATAATGCTTATATTTATACTTAATAGTTCAACTTTTTTATGTTCTAACTTTTTGTAGGCGTCTATATTATTCTCTTTCGCGTTTATAAGCCTTATTGCGTCTTTTTCGTACTTATCAGCATTGTTGCATAACATCTGCATGAAATTTAAAATATCAATTTAAAATATAAATTGTATCAGGTTTCCTTACCAATGTGCTGAAACATATATTTATTTTATGTGTTTTATGTTATTCAAGAAACGTAATGCACAGAATCCTATTGCATATGGCATGCCATAATGCACTTGGGTCTAGCAATAGAATAAAAAAAAACTAAGCTCACTGAGCCGTGTAATAGAGTGGATATATTTAAGTAATTTTGGGGCAGCCGATTGCAACCAAAAAGGGAAGTGCACAATTACATGTTATAGTAGTCCTATATATAAAATTTTAACGTTCTGAGGCTACTCGTTTTTGAGTTATGCGAGATACTTACATATGTACATAGGTACAGACGTCACGAAAAAATATCTTCTGAATCCATTTTAAATCCGTTTTATAATTCATTTGGGGAAAAAGAGTCCTTTATTCTGTCCTTACGTCACGCAAATACATAATTTTTGCGTCACAGATGTCACGCATAAACATTGCATTCGATAGCGGTCAAAATGGATATTTTCGGTGAAATATTTTTTTCCCCAATGGCAGATTCTGAACAATTACAAATGTAACTCAGTCCATTAACCTATTACAAGGCCAGATGTAGTGGTCTCTTTATTATGGAGGCACCTAATAGGTGTGCCCAATCGCCTTTCCAATGAAGGGACGGACAGTTACAACCATGCTTTCTCCGGGGTCAGGGAAGCTGACTTTTTGGCGAAATATGATACCCGAACCGTTATGAATGATACGTTATATTATATTGAATTTTAATATTATGCTTTATTTTATTATTACATATTATTTTCAAATTATAATATATTTTACCTTAATTTTGAATGCTTTTAGTTACTGATTTGAATTTAACTAAATATCACGCAGTATATTTTAACGTTTCTAGAAGCTGTGTTTAATAACAAAAGCTTTTTTCTTTTAAAATTTAAGCATTTTAAAATTAAGCATAAGGGCTCATACACCTTAAACCTCTTATGAGCTTCAAATTATGTGACTGTTGCAACAATTGAGATATTTTATTTATTTTAAAGTGATTACCTCCAACCTTTTACAGCTGACTACATAATATAGCTATTTTGGAAAATAGTAACCAGAAAGTTTGTGTTGCCACAAATATTTTTGTAATTTAATACGCTTTGTGACAAAATGTTTCGTCATTTTTCCACCTTGCGCGCATGATATTTTAAAATGGCTAATGGTACATACTTGAAATTGGATGGAATTCTTTATATGGGCACTATTTTCTAACTGAACCAAAATCTGATAAATATTTTAATATTAAAATATTTTATGCACGAAAACATTACAGATTTTTTAATAAAATACATTTTATAAACTCAACTCCAAATAAAATAAAAATTTAACATGAAATTCTCAGTTTTGTTTTGATTTACAGTATTTTCCAAATGTTATAAAAGCTATATATAAACTATGGAATTTAACAATGCAACAGACAATTTTAAACTGTGCGAGCAAGGTAGAAACATGACGAAAATTTTTGTCACAAAGCGGATTAAATTACAAAAATATTTGTGGCAACACAAACTTTCTGATTACGATTTCAGAAAGCAGCTATATTATGTAGTGAGCCATAAAAAGTTGGAAGTAATTACTTTTAAAATAAGCAAGTTATCTCAATTCTTGCAACAGTCACATATTCGAAGATCATAAGGGGTTTAAGGTGTATGAGCCCCCTTAATACATTCAGTGATATACAATAAGTAAACAAGTATCATAAGCATAATATAGGCATGTGAAAAAAAAATATGTCTCGACGGCGAATCGGCCCGACGCGACGTCGAATACGACGGCGGTGACAGTCCCAATCCCATGCAGTTTATTTGTAAACAAGCTTCTTATTAAATAAGAGAGTCTTAATATAATTATCATAAAACTTCAATATTCAGATAAGTGCATCGCAAGATCATGGGTGTCTAGTAGAGAGGTTGTGGGTGCATTGAAAGTAGCAAAAGGTTTGGAATAGTTGTTTTGCATTGTTCGATGATTCTCAGCTTTTAAATATCATTTTACAGATGCAGCTATTCTCATCGCTGGAAAATAACTTGCAAACCCTGCAATAAATTGAAAGAAAGTGATGTTTGTCCTAAATACCAAGCCTGTAAACAATGCCATGCTGATGGAGGTGACAGCTGTGCCACTTGTCCAGATGGTAAATTTGGAACATGGTGTGAAAATGGTAAGCTGAATTTTAATTTGAATACTTCTAAAAGCTCTGTAAAAGCCCAGTAAAAGAAGTTCGAGTTTACCCTGCAACAGAAGCTTTTATTTCCGACTGTAGGAAGTCGATACATCTTGTTATCATTCGAAAACAAAAGTTGCCAAAAGTGGTTTTGAAGTTTTCCAATATGGTCGACAGTTGTGAGAATTCGCTTTATTATCCAAATTCGAACAAATAAGTAAGCACTTGAATCCAGGATTAATAACATGGAAGACGTGGGAATGATTTAGCTATAATACACTTCGAATGGCGAAACATATATTATATTTCAATTAACGATTGAGTGGCACCAGCAGTATGGGGCCGAGCATTGTCATGGAGCAACACAATTCCTTTACTGAGCATTCCTCTTCGTTTGTTTTGAATGGCACGCCTTAGTTTTGTTAAAGTCTCACAATATCGTGCCGCATTAATGGTTTCACCTCTGGGAAGAAATTCAGTAAGCAAAACGCCTTTCCTATCCCAGAAGACAGTGCACATGATTTTTTGTGATGACATTGTCACTTTGAATTTTTGTTTTTTCGGAGAATGAGTGTGTCTCCACTCCATCGATTGTTGTTTCGATTCTGGTGTGAAATGACACACCCAAGTTTCATCACCTGTCACAATTTGGTTTAAAAAGTTTTCTCCCTCATCACTGTACCGCGTGAGAAATGTCAGGGCACTACCAAGTCGCTTTGTTTTGTGAACATCAGTGAGCATTTTTGGAACCCATCGGGAACACAGTTTGCGATAATTCAAGCGGTCAGACACAATTTCGAACAAAACAGTACGTGAAATTTGTGGAAATGCCTCTGAAAGAGTTGTCATTGTGAAGCGTCTGTTCTCATGAATTGCTTCATCAACTTTCCTTACCAAATCATCGGTGACAACAGAAGGCCGACCACTCCGAGCCTCGGCGTGGACATTTGTTCGACCTGCATTAAACATTCTTACCCACTTTCTCACCATTCCATCACTTACTTATCGCGTATTCACCGTAAACTTCTGTCACTTGACGATAAATTTCGGCCGGTTTAACATTCCTCGCGTTCAAAAATTTAATCACGGCACGAATCTCACAGTCAGCGGGAGAACTAATTGTCTTAAACATTTTGAATGTGCACAGCAAACTGAAAACACAACATAGAGCAACCAAAATGGCGACAATTGAAAGTCAGTGAACAAGAAAGACTAGTGCGCATGCGCGGGACGCCTACCACAGCGCTGCGACGGCGCTAGAATGAAACGGTACTTAGTTTCCTAAGTCGCTAATGCTAATAAGATCAACAGAATTTTGTTTTTCCATATGTTTTTTAATTACATGTTAAAAAGAACTTTAAATTTTTTAATTTTTAAAAATAGTATTAATAGAAGGGTTTTATTTTCTATTTATCCTGTAATACAATTTTGTCAGCAATTTATTTAAAATAATAACATAATTGGACAGAATTTATTCTTACGTCAATTTATTAAAAATAGCAACCTATATAAAACACACTGGAAAATTCTATTTATTATTTTTCCTATTAGAATTTTGTTAGCAGTTTACTAAAATTTATATAGAAATATATCGGAAAATTAATTTTTTACAGACTCTTTCTGGTGGTTACAGTTCAGCAATTGCTACTAATCATGCCTCAAACATCAGTTATAGCTTCTTTTTCCGTTGATTGAAGATTACCTTTACTCTAGTAAGCATAATAAGTATTTTAAATGAAAAATTGCTGCACTGACACAATGCAATCACGGATAACAAAAAGATTTTTAGTTTGTTTCTCGCACATGCGCAGATGGGTAACTTTTTATATTTCGTCAATGCGGAAACATTTCAAGTAAACCTTCTAGCCAAGGCCGCTACTGAAGACAAGTACCGTATTCATAATTTACAAGTGCACATCAGTATAGCCACCGAGGAAGGGGTTGGTAGAAATATTGCTGGAAGCCCATTGGTCCATTCTAGAAGCCACTCCCTCAGTGGCGATACAGATGTGCACTTACGGAAATATGCGTACCGTATGATGTGGAGTATGTTTGACGATAGTGAAGTTAAATTACATAAATGCAATGCACACTGAGATATAAAAACTGTATGTTTAGATTGCAAAGTATTGCTATCATAAAAAAAATATACATATTCAAGTTACAGGGAAGCAGAAATAAAGATATCTTAGAAGATATTGATAATGTTAATATTACAATGTAATCTTATTGGAATGTAAGTTCATTTTAAAAAAATAATGTTGTGATCGTTACCTGTAGTTTATCCACGGCTGCTTTTCATTAGTTATGTTTTTACTGTAACCGCGTCCTTCGGAAATTAAATTAATCCTATAATTTTTCCCTTTTGATTTTCGCACGATAAAAGGAGTAAAAAAAAAAGGGGGGATACTGTACACAGTTTGCACCTTTAATATGATTGTTACAAATGAATACAGTCAGGTTAAACATCTATAGATACCGTGTATATGTGTTATTACTTAATTCATGTGATTAATTATCTTTCAGTTTGTACTTGCGTCAATGGAGGTGTCTGCGAACGGGACGGCAAGTGTATCTGCTCTCAGGGTTATGAAGGACGAAACTGTGAAAGGAAGAAAGGTAATTTTTTGAAAGAAACTAATTATCAGTGAAACCAGCCCATGTATTTAGTTAAAATTACTGCTAGTCTAATGGTTATTATTATTATTAATTCAAAGCGTCAATTTGCCAAGAAGGGCTATTAATTTCGTTTTGACATTTTGCGCAGGTGTACTGTAAACGGAGTATCACTTTCCAAGCTGTTGCCACCAAATATTAGAGCCCTGCATTATATTTAGAGAAATTAACAAAGGTACTTAGAGACATCAAATTTTGTATAACGTGGTCCTCCACTCGAATACGGACATCTGGAAGCCCGAATTTGGAATTGTTTTAATATTTGTTTCATGTTTCTAACAAATTTTTTATTAACAAACTCAATGATTTCAAAGCGAGCAATGGCAAAACTCTGTACAAGGAAAATACATATATCTAGCGCGCGAGACTGTTTATCGGAGATTCTAGAGATATGCTCTTTTGAAATTACTTTGCAATATTGTTGTTGAACTGAATTTTATGATTTAAGTGCGAAGAACATGATATTTAATAAATAAAGGTAACACACAAAACGTTAAAAACGCCTTTTTGGATGTAATATAAAATTTGAAAGCTTACAGATTTTTTTTAATTGATTCTTTTTATTCTTTTTTATAAGATTATTATTGTGTAAAAATTAATATTGTATTAGTTACTATATTTGAATGTCAAATAATGCAGCTTTATGACTTCAGAATAAATATTTCAACATACAGTTGAACCCTGCAATAGCGAATCTCTCATATAACGAAGCCCTGTATATGACGAAATAGTTTTATAGTCCTTCCAATTTCCTATACAATAAAATTTATTTTAGGCCATTATAACGAACTTCCAGATGTGTAAAATCGGATATAACGAATTTTACGGACGTCTTGGATTGAAAATGTTTTGTATTTTTCAAGTAGTTTTGCTACTTTAACTGAAAAATTAATAACCCTTAAATTTATCCTGTTTATGGTATTGGTATAACGAAAAATCTGATGTGTACACCACATGACTTCCTTGTTATGGAATATTAAATTATATGCATTTTCCCTTGCATTTCATTTTAAATTATTGGACTGAATCTACTTCGTCCATAGCGCATAAACCACAGTAGAATAAATGCACTCTTTAGAATTCACTATATTTGTTTACCATAGCGACACTCTGGCGTTAGGTTCACTTAACAGCGTTACATTTCGTTCATATTATAACTCAGAATGAATATAAATTATTGAATTTGAAGAATTATCTAATCGTTGCAACATGTATTATTCAAATACTGTAATAAATCTAAAACGATGTATAAAAGGAATTAAACAAAACAAAACAAAAAAAGAAACAGTTTTTCACAGACATTTCAGTATTTCTCATTCAATCAGTTCAGTTCTCACTTCCCGACAAGGCAAAAATACATAAAATCTCAAAATATCTATATTAAAAATTACGAAGTAAATCTTAAAGACTTATTTTCTCGAAAAAATTCCAGAAAGGATTAAGCATGATTTAATTGGCAATAATAAATGAAGGCGTTATCTTTGTTGTTGCGAAGCTAAGTTTCTCTAGATTGGCAACAAATCCACTATTTGAAATGTAAACAAACATGTCCGCCATCGCAAAATTCATTAGGCTTAGCTGAAATTAAACAACTTTTAAATTGTTGATAACTCCAGAAATATTGCATGCAGATTTACTAAAGACATAAAAACCTTAACCGGAAGATAGGAACAACATAATTCAATCATTTTTAAAGCAAAAAATGCACAATTTACAAACATATAATAATAAAGAAACTTAGCTCACTGAGCCGAGTAATAGAGTAGATATATATATATATTTTATACACATATACTTTGGTGCGGCGATTGCAACCAACATACGAGGTGCATATCTACATGTTAGAGCAGTCCTATATACAAAATTTCAACGTTCTGAGGCTACTCGTTTTCGAGTTATGCGAGATACGTACGTACGCACAGACGCCTCGAAAAATTATCTTCAGAATTCATTTAAAATCAGTTTTATAATTTTTTTCGGGGGGAGGAAAGTGTCCTTTATTCTGTCCTTACTTGCGGATGTCACGCAATAAACGTTGCATTGGATAGCGGTCAAAATCGATATTTTCGTTGAAATATGATAACCGAAATTTTCGCGATTACAATACTTCCTTTTTACTTCGTACAAGGAAGTAAAAAGAACACAAAAAAGTGAAGAAACTTAAATATATTATAATTATTTGAAATTAATGTTAATCTGAAATATAAATATTTGGCTGTCAATATGCTTGACAATGTTTTAACCAAAAAATGTGTTGCAGATATTGCAAGACAAAAATGTCTGCACAACTTAACCAAAATACGAGAAAATCAGTCAGTTCAGTTAGAAGACAAATATAAATTTGAATTTTTTCCCTTTTGCATTATGAGGGCCCACCAGCGGCCGAGCGGTAAAAACGCTGAACACTAGTAGTTCGGTCCGAGGTTCGAATCCCGCGAACGGGCTGGCTGCATGGGCGTTTTCGTGGTTTTCCCCATGTGTAACGTGTATACGATCCAGTTTCCCTTATAAAGTCCTCCACGAAGGCATCCGTTCCTTTAGGCAGATAGTCCTCGTGTGCTTTGCCATAACTGAATAATCCTAATCCCTTTTGCATTACTATTGTGATTGCTTATGTATGTTTTGATAAATGTTTAGTAACTCAAATTTAAAATTTAGTTCACGTATTTTTTATTTTGTTGGTAAAAAAATTTTATTAAAAAACATTCTGGCTCTTCAGCTGTTTTCTGATTGTTCACTAGAATTAGAGTAAGACCACTGAGACAGATTACCTCAAAAAACCTATGAACTCATATGTAACCGATATTTTTTTCAGATAATTTGCTCGTGAGATGATTTGTTTGGGATAAGAGGTTCCACTCTATGTTACAGAACTTAAAATGTTCTCTAGCGTATCCTATTGCAATTCATTTGAAATTTTGCTCGTATTCAGCTTTCAGGAATTATGTGTCGATTGTTTATGATTTAAAATTTTAAACTTCAATAAAGGAAGTATTGTAATCGTAAAAATTTTCGGGTATCATATTTCAACAAAAATATCCATTTTGATAGCTTTCGAATCCATCTGAACGTTATTTTTGCTTGACATCTGTAAGTATGGCCAGAATAAAGGACCCTTTTTTTTCGAAACGGATTGTAAAATGAATTTAAAATGGATTCAGAACATATTTTTTAGTGACGTCTGTACGTAAGTATGTATCTCGTATAACTAAAAAAAGAGAAGCCGTAGAATGTTACAATTTTGTATATGGGACTGCTATAACATACAGTTGTGCAACTCCCTTCTTGGTTGGAATCGGCCGAACCAAATATATATACTCACCCTGTTATCCTACTCCGTGAGCTCAGTTTCTTTATTCTTATATGTTGGTAAATTTTGCATTTTTTTTGTTTTTTGATTGAATTGTGTTGTTTTTATATTTCGATAAAGGTTTTTATGCCTTTAGTTAATCTGTACGCATTAGTTGTTAGTTGAGTTAACAATTTAAAAATTTAAGTGTAGAATACACTGACTACCAATAAGTATTTGACACCTGTGATAGAAAAGAAAAACTAACATTATTCAAAATCAATAGTTGGTAGAGCCTCCACGAGAGATAATTACAGCGTGGACGCTCCGGGGCATACTTTCCACAAGTCTTTGTATGACAGCTAGTGGTATTTTCTTCCACTCGGCTTGGAGAAGACATAGAAGTTCCTTCACCGATTTTGCACGGGTAGTGCACCCCCGAATTCGGCGATGCAACTCGTCCCAGAGGTTCTCGATAGGATTCAAGTCTGGACACTGGGCAGGCCAGTCCATTCGATGAACTCCATTGGCACCATACCAAGTCTTGGTTAACGTAGAAACATGACAACTGGCATTGTCGTCCTGAAAGTAACAGGGGTCCAACCCGTAAAACTGCCACAACGTAGGAAGCACATTGTCGTCCAAAATAGTGCAGTAGGCATCGGAGTTGAGCTTACTATAAATGGGGACCAAGGGTCCCAGCCCATACCAGGGAAACACCCCCAAACCATAATTCCACCTCCGCCGAACTTGACTGTTGGTACAATGCATTCTAGCAGGAGACGTTCTCCAGGTAGACGCCAGACCCAGACCCTGCCATCCGAACGGTAAAGGGTGAACCTTGATTCGTCACTCCAAAGAACCCGTTTCCACTGATCTACGGTCCAATTTCGATGTGCTTTGCACCATGTTAACCGAGCAGCGCGGTTGGACTTTGTGATCAAAGGCTTATGGGCAGCAGCACGACCATGAAAACCAAGCAGATGTGCTTCCTTACGGATGGTATTCATTGAAACAATACTCCCGGATGCCTGTTGAAACTCCTCGCGGATGAGGGTCATCGTTTGGCTGCGGTTCTTCCGAATTTCTCTGGACAGCACTCGTCGGTCTCTATCTACCAGTTTCGTTGGTCTGCCGACTCGGGGCACATTCCGACAATCATCGCTCACCTTCCACTTCTTAATCGCATAGGCCACTGTCGATTTTGAGTACTTCAGATAGCTAGATATGTCCCTTAAGAATCGGCCACTTTTGTGATACCTGATAATTATACCTTCCTCGAAATCAGAGAGCTCCGAACTGCGAGGCATCTTGCATGCGACTAAAGCCGATGCTGTTTCCTACACGATATATACCGGCGGAGTCCGTGGCGTACCTTGGGACCGCAGATATTGTCATTTGCATATGTGTCCAAATACTCGTACTTATTGGTAGTCAGTGTAGTGAATAGAATAGAACATATGTATTTTGACACAAAGTCAGAAATTTTCTGAAATAACATAGCGATTTCCATTTAACATACCAATAAATTAGTTGATGCACCAATCTCAGTGTCTTTTCGCCCGGTGTGACCAAAAGTTAACGTTAAGTTTTGTAGAGCGAAAATTTTGCCTTCCTGCCCGCTGGCCGAATTGCCTGTTTTTGCGTAGAAACTCAAATTCGTATATTAAAAATTGTTTTTCTTTAACTGTTTTTAACTGTATTTGATGTTTTACTTTTTTCTGTATTTTTGTTTTGTGTGAAATGAGTTGATTGAGTTGGAAATATATATCTAATGAAACTCGAGGAAATAAATCTAAATGCAGCTAAAAAATGTGCATAATTTAATAGGTCGTACAAGGAAGTCATGTGGTGTCCACATCAGATATTTTTTCATTTTTATTCTGAATTTTCTAGGCTGCTCACCTCCAGGTGCCATAGCGCATCCATTACAAGTCACTCTCAGTCCTGCTGGTAGACCAGTCACTGCTGTTTACAGTTGTCCGGAAGATTATGAACTTAGTGGATCAGCAGTTAGCACTTGTTTGCCTGGTGATAAATGGTCGAGTGAACCTCCAGTTTGTCGTAAGTATAGTAATGTCTTAAGAATGTAGTAAATATTGAGCGTTATAAAATGCCTTCGTAATATTTTACTGTAAAAACGGTTTACTAATGTAAAGCTGTGATTTTGAGAGCAAGAAAGATTTATTTAAGTACAATTTTCGTAAAAATTTATTATTAAAATTAGGTTATAACACAGTATAATGGAAAAAAATGTAAGAATAAATAAGTACCGTGTTTATCGGGTATTTTTTTTCTCTCTCTCTCTCTTTTTAGCCCAAAAGGGCTTTAGCCCATATGGGCTATTAATTTCGTTTTGACATTTTTGTGGCATTTCACTATAGCAGACATGTTTGTTCACATTTGAAACAAGTCAGTTTTTGCATCTACAGTGTCTTTTTGCAGAGTGGGACTAAAAGTAAAGTTTCAGTTTTGTGGGGAAAAAAAAAAAAAAAAAAATGCTTGTTGGCCCTTTTTTTTTTTAAGTCCAAAGGAGATTTGTTCCTGAAGGACTATTGTTTTCGTTTTCCGTTGAATCACTATAAATGTCCGTTTTACTTTTCAGACTGCTCCCACGAAATATTATTGCCCTGCATTATATTTAAAGAAATTAAATAATGAAGAATCTGTGTGAATGTATGCATGTTGTTTTTCGCATTGTTATAAAACAACGGTACCTAGAGCCATCCAATTCTGAATAACGTACGTCTCCACCCGAATATCGGCATCTAGAAGCCCAAATTTGGAATTTGTTTTAATATCTATTTCATATTTTGTAAAGCATTTATGAGTTTTTGATTAAGGAACTGAAAGATTTGAAAGCGAGAAATGGCAACACTATAGGGGGAAAAACATTCTTATCTCCAGCGCGCGAAACTGTGTATCGGAAATTATTAAGTTATGCTCTTTTTAAACTATTTTGTGATGTTGCTTTTGAATCGAATTTCATTGTGTAAGTGCGAAGAACATGATATTTAATAAGGTAACACACAAAATGTTAAAAAAAAGGCCCCTTTGGGCGTAATATAAAATCTGAAATCCTTCAGATTTTTTTTTTTTTTTTTACTAACTTCCGAGAAACAAGCGGGGAAAACTGTCCGAATAATTTAATTCACGAAGACGGCGATTACAATCAGAATATAACAGATGTAAAATAGCAATCGATAAATTGCAGGTAACTAGCCCGATATTAATTTTTTAAAAGAAACCCACTTTCTGATACGAATACATAGTAATATCAGCATTACAATATCTAATAAGATATCTTCATTTTTATTCTCTTTTAACTTGAATCTCACCCGTTCTTACTGTTATCGTTACTGCTCCTTAGGCCTGAAATCATCCATAAATAATTAGAGAAGATGAATGTGCAGCTGGCCTCCGCAAAGTCGTAAACCGAATGGTAGTTCGTGTTCTGTGATAGGTCGACTCCTGTATTAAGATGGCATATAGCTTAGTAGGTAGAAGGGAAAGGTTCGGCGTGAACTTTGCAGGTAGTTTGCTAGGATATATCTTTGTTGATAAAATGAAAACAATCACTACGTAAAGGAACCCATTTTAAAACTTTAGAAAGTTCGTTCTTTAACCGCGTTGAAGAGGAAAATTACGCGAATATTTTTAAGAATTTTCAGAACCCGAAAAGCTAGGGGGAAAATAAGCGAAGAAATACGGTATTTAAATGATGTTTTATCTCTACATATAATAAAAGAAAGAGTCTGTCTGTGTGTGTGTGTCTTTCGTTCGCGCTGCGCGTAAGCTAATAGACCCACGACTACGAAATTTGGTACATAGGTGCATCTAGACAAGAGCCAGTGCACCTCGAAGCGATTTTTTCGAAATTCGAATGAGAATTTTTAGTCCAAAGGGATTTGAATCCCGAAGGATTATTAGTTTCGTTTTGGCATTTTGCGTCGGACTCATAAATGTCGGTTCACTTTTCAAACTGTTGCCACAAAATGTTAGAGTCCTGCATTATATTTGAAGAAATTAAATAATGAAAAATCTGCATAAATGTATGTATATTTCTCGTATTGTGATAAAACAACGGTACATAGAGTCATCGAATTTTGAATAACGTAATCCTCCAACGAATATGAGCATGTGGAAGACCCAATTTGAAATTTGAAATTTGTTTTATGATCGATTTCCTATTTTTTAAAACTTTGACGAATTTTTGATTAACAAACTCAAGGATCTTTGGATTATGGTAACTGGGCGATTTTTTGGCGAAACTTTAGCGACCAACCCTGCTACAGCAACCTGCTAGTTTTTTTCCCCCCTCTCAACTTTTTTTCCAACAATCTGCTAACCGAATTAGCTTATGCTAGAACTTTTATGGAACAAAAGTGCTTAATCATGACGAGGATTAGGTGCGAAATTGGGAGAAAGTGTAGAATCGCCCACTGCTTTTAAGAATTGCGCATACACGGTATCCATGTACACGTCGACCTATTTTCACTTAAAAAAAAATCCCAGATTCGCACAAAAATGGCATTGCGCACACTCTTGACTTTATCCATGTACACATCGACTTATTTTCACTTAAAAAGTCAAAGAAAATTGGCAAAAATCCAATTCTTCTTACTCTTGTAAAGAGCGCCAAACAAATAAGTGAGCGATTCTGCACTTTAGCAGCAAAATTGTTTCTAAGTGCTTATTAGCTAAAATCCTGATTGGAATTTTCCGGAAAATGTCACATTACATGTCTCATGATCTCTCATTTCTCTGAGACAAAATAATCTGTGATTCGAACTGTGCACTTCTCAGATTATTGCTAAAATCCTAGCTAGTAACCTTTATCGCCTTACCAAAATGTCGCCAAACTACCTGTTACCATATTCCAAAGATTAGCCAAAAAACCTAATTAGAATACACAAAAAGGAATTAAGAACTTCGAGCACTCTCATTAGTCTAAGCTATGAAAGCATTCTCACTTGTCTAAGCTATGAGATGCGAAACGGTAAGGGACGTACAGGTTTGCCATATACATATATATATATATATATATATATATATATATATTATATATATATATATAACCACTCTGTTACTCGGCTCAGTGAGTTCAATTTTTTTATTCTTATATGTTGATAAATTGTGCATTTTTTACTTTAAAATTGAATTAATTATGTTGTTCTTATCTTCCGATTAAAGTTTTTATGCCTTTAGTTAATCTGCATGCAATAGTTGTAGAGTTATCAAAAATTTAAAAGTTGTTTAAAGGCTCAGCGTAATTCTTTTTTATCATAGCAGTCATATTTGTTTACATTTGAAACTTAGCAAAATAATGTTTTAAGTCTTTCTGCAGCTTCAATGTCTTTTTGCTGAATGAAACAAAAATGAAACTTGGCTGTTGTCCGAATTGCTTGTTTTTGCGTAGAAACTCTTAATTTTAATTGTAAAAATTGTTATTTTAATTGTTTTAACTGTATTGTATTTTATATTTTTCTATATTTTTCAATTTTTAATAAAGATATTTTGAAGTTTTATGCATTTTTGCCTTGTCGGGAAGTGAGAACTGAATTAATTGAATGAGAAATCTACATCTAATGAAATTCGAGGAAATCAGTTTAAAGGAAATACATGAAAAAAATGCTTATAAATTAATATTCTCTACAAAGAAATCATATGGTGTACACAAGAGATTTTTCAAATAGTAATAAAATAATTGCAAATAGGTTGTTTTTCACAGTTTATTAAAGCAGAGAGAAAGTTTCTTTTTCATTTGTCCTTCATTCTATTTTTAGTCAAAAAGTGCCCACTGTTGAGTGCTCCTGCCAATGGAAAACTGGAATTTTCCGCTAATGTTCTTGTTGAAGGTGTAACGGCAGATATCACTTGTAATGCACACCACCGTCTGATAGGCCAGAAAACACTTGCATGCTTAGCAAACGGCCAGTGGAATACTGAACTCCCTGTCTGTGGTAAGTGGAAAAACTTAACTGTTTCACCATGTAAGAAATATTTTCGAAAATATCTCTGTGTTTAATGCTGAAAAATATAATAACAAATAATTAAATTCTATATTCAGTTGATTATGTATTTCAGTAAAAAAAATGAAATATGATTTTTGCTGCTGGATATTAAATGGTATTCTAACCGTATTTCATTAGATTATTTTTGCGAAGTATAATCAGGAATGCCTTAGAGGTATACATACATACTTTTCCCGAGGGGAAAATACGCACCATGTTGGAAACGAAAAATCTTTAAATATCATTGATATGTTATGAAAAGATTATAATTTTCAACTTCTTACAACAGTTTAATGGCTAGTACACTGACTACCAATAAGTATTTGGACACCTGTGATAGAAAAGAAAAACTAACTTTATTCAAAATCAAAAGTTGGTACAGCCTCTACGAGAGGTAATTACAGCGTGGACCCTCCGGGGCATACTTTCCACAAGTCTTTCTATGACAGCTAGTGGTATTTTCTTCCACTCGGCTTGGAGAAGACATAGAAGTTCCTTCACCGATTTTGCACGGGTAGTGCATCCCTGAATTCGGCGATGCAACTCGTCCCAAAGGTTCTCGATAGGGTTCAGGCCTGGACTCTGGGTAGGGCAGTCCATTCGATGAATTCCATTGGCACCATACCAAGCCTTGGTATGGTGCCAATGGAGTCGAAACATGACAACTGGCATTGGACATGACAATGGAGTCGAAACATGACAACAGCCAACGTCGAAACATGACAACTGGCATTGTCGTCCTGAAAGTGACAGGGATCCAACCCGTAAAACTGCCACAACGTAGAAAGCACATTGTCATCCAAAATAGTGCAGTAGGCATCGGAGTTGAGCTTACCATGAATGGGGACCAAGGGTTCCAGCCCATACCAGGAGAAACACTCCCAGACCATAATTCCACCTCCGCCGAACTTCACTGTTGGTACAATGCATTCTGGCAGGAGACGTTCTCTAGGTAGACGCCAAACCCAGACCCTGCCATTCGAACGGTAAAGGGTGAACCTTGATTCGTCACTCCAAAGAACCCGTTTCTACTGATCTACGGTCCAATTTCGATGTGCTTTGCACCACATTAACCGAGCAGCGCGGTTGGACTTTGTGATCAAAGGCTTATGGGCAGCAGTACGACCATGAAAACCAAGCATATGTGCTTCCTTACGGATGGTATTCATTGAAACAATACTCCCGGATGCCTGTTGAAACTCGTCACGGATGAGGGCCATCGATTGGGTGTGGTTCTTCCGAATTTCTCTGAACAGCACTCGTTGGTCTCTATCTCCCAGTTTCGTTGATCTGCCGACTCGGGGCACATTCCGACAATCACCGCTCACCTTCCACTTCTTAATCACATAGACCACTGTGGATTTGGGGTACTTCAGATCTCTAGATCTGTTCCTTAAGGATCGGCCACATTTGTGAGACCCGATAATTATACCTTTCTCGAAATCAGAGAGCTTCGAACTGCGAGGCATCTTGCATGCGACTAAAGCCGATGCTGTTTCCTACACGATATATACCGGCGGAGTCCGTGACGTATCTTAGGACCGCAAATATCGTCATTTGCATAGGTGTCCAAATACTTATTGGTAGTCAGTGTAGTTGTATCTTAAATGTTACGATTAATACTAGGCAAAAGTTCTCAAGGAAGTAACAAACTGGCATCATATACAGGGGGTTTCATATTGAATGGGGCTAAAAGAAGCCTACCTGTGAACTCCGTAATTACTTTATATTGATAATTAAATGTTACAGTGAAACTATAGTTATCCAAGTGTCCTACAGATGTTCTATGTTTGCCACTACAGTAACACGGCAAATATCTGTGCGGTATTCCATTTTCTGCTACACTCACGATAGAATATCTTTTGTTAACGATTCGAACACTTCAGTTATTCGCTGCTTCAGCTGCAGTAAGTCCTGGGGAAATGGAGGCAGGAACAGTTTGTCTCTAACAAAACCCATAGAAAAACTCACACGGAGTTAGATCTAGGGATCTCGCAGGCCAACAAAGCAATGGCATATCGTTTGACCCAGCTCAGCCAGTCCAGCGACAGGGTATACTACCGCTCAAATGCTGGTATACGTTTTTATTCCAATATGAGGGGAGTACTATCTTATTGCCGAATGAAGCCGGGAATTGCTTCCTCCAACTGAGGCAACAGCCACTCTGATAGCATAGCTTTGTAAATGCACCCGGTGATCGATTTTTTTTACGAAGAAGAAAAAGGACCAATACATAACTATTGGAAATGGGGCAGAAAACGTTCACCTTCGGAGAATCATGCTCATGTTTATCACACCGTGTGGTTTTTCCGTGCCCCAAACTCGCATGCATTAACTTTGCCAGAAACGTGAAAAAAAGTGGCTTCATCCGTCTATTCACAAAGCCAGATTATCTTGCAGATTCTCACAGAAAGCTTTACCCAACGGTTTGTCGGAAGATTTCTAACGCCTGCACCATGGTCATGGCTGCAACTGAAGACGTTTCTGTAACACACGCCACGCCATTCACATGAGGCACATTGAGTTCGGAACTTGCACAACGCGTTGATTTTGTAGGACCTCGCAAAATGGTTGCTGTTCGTCCTGTGCTGGTTTTCTTACACGAGCAGCCCGTCTCTTGAAACTGCTTCATCCACCGTTCGATGTTGTGGTTCTTTGCTAAATTTCATTCAAAACTGTCTTTAAAAAGGTAATGTTTGGCGTAATCCAATACACAGTATGCTTTCTCCTGCATGGATGACGCCATTTTGGTTAACAATGTTTCTAGCCGCGATTTCGCAAACAGAAGATTTTTCGCTGTTGCCAGATAAAACATGTATAATTATGGTTTCAGAATTAATTTGTTTTGGCCTAATAAATCAATTACAGAATGTGTGCTATGTTTGTACTTTTTGTCCCATTTCCCATTTAATACGAAACACCATTTGAAAATAGCAGTTAGTATACATGTTAATAGATGGCAGAAGCATCCTAGTTCATGATATTCATTTCTTTAGTTACTAAGTACAAATTCTTACGCGTAGTGGTGTGGTGTGGTGTATTTAATTATGGCAAAGCACACTAGGGCTATCTGCCTAAGGGGAGGGATGCCTTTCGTGGAGGACTTTCTAAGGGAAACTGGCTCGTATACACGTTAAACATGGGGAAAACCACGAAACGCCCATGCAGCCAGCCCGTTCGCGGGATTCGAACCTCGGACCGAACTACCAGTGTTCAGCGACTTTACCGCTCGGCCGCTGGTGGGCAATTCTTACGCGTAGGTCAGCGAAAAGGAAAAATGGTACGAGCAAGTATTTGTAATGCAAAGAAAGAAGAGATAGAACACCATGGAACATAAACTTCAAATATATAAGGTATTTTCTTCTTTCTCCTTCAAGCATGCCTTCTTGGTGTAACGTTAGCACACTTGGCGCGTATTTGAGAAGTTCAGGGTTTGAGTCCCGGCGAGGGTTTAACATATTTTTCCCTTTCCTTCAAAATAAGGCAATGATTCTGCAAGTGGCGCCCGAACTAAAAGGTTGTGGACGATAATTCGTCACGACCAGGCTGTGGCGACTGGGTCATCTCATCCCCAGTCGCCCTTTAAAAGGACGAGCACATAAGGTATTTTCTCCCTTCTTCCAGCATGCCTTTGTGATGTAACTCAGCACGTATTCAAGAGCTCCAGGGTTTGAGTCCCGGCGATGGCACTGCATATTTTACACGTCTCCTTCTTCAAATTAACCTAATGACTGTAAAACTATGACTGGTTTCTTTCAAATGTAGTTTGAGATTCCCTTTCTGCAACTTTCTAAAATTTTTCAAAAAGTTGCGAAAGGAAAAAAAAAATTAAACCCATTTTTAACATGGGAAAATAAAAATTAATTTTTCCCGTTAAATGAAAATTGAACATTCCTGGCACGCTTCCAACAGGAGCTCCGTTTATGTGTATCCAATCTGGTGTAAGCTAGCTCAGTAAAGAGAATTAGTTCGTGAACAAATAGCAAATCTCTATTCCCGGCACGCTTCTAACATAAACTCTTTGTGAACTGTAAAAGAGCTACAAGCCCGTTTCCTGGAATCGGAGTAAATTCGCTCAGTAAAGTGAATCACTTCTTTGCATCAGTTCCGGAGCATATCGTCCAGCTCTGATGGAAAGTGCGGAGCTACTTGGCCCAAATGTCATTGAAGGTGGTATGTGACTTTCGGAAAGTTGAATTTAGGTCTGTTTCGTGGCAGTCAAATATCGTATCGCCGTTACAAAAGTGTACTTTGCTTTCGCTTCAGATATTTATCCGCTTTTTGATGCGAGCATCTGACTGGTCGTCAGGAGTGCTACATTTTTATTAGTACATAAGTTTCTAGAAAGTTCGTGCACTTTATTACTTTGTAGAGACATTAGGATATAATATATATATATATATATATGAGGCCAGAGAAATTAAAAATTAGCAACCGCCTTCGCCGGGAATCGAACCACGGACCTCTGGAATACCGGCCCGGCGTGCTACCGTTACACCACGAAGGCACGCTAGGGAAGTGGGAGAAATACCTTATATAATCCCCTTTTTAAAGGGCGACTAGGGTTTTAGGGGACCTAGTCGCCAAATCCTGGGTGTGGAGAATCATCATCCACAACCCTTTTAGTTCGGGCGCCACTGTAGACACATTTGGATTTTCTTTCTTTTTTTTTTTTTTTTTTTTTTTTTTTTTTTTTTTTTTTTTGGAATCCAGAGAAATGAAAAATTAGCAACCGCCTTCGCCGGGAATCGAACCACGGACCTCTGGAATACCGGCTCAGCGTGCTAGCGTTACACCACGAAGGCACGCTAGGGAAGTGGGAGAAATACCTTATATAATCCCCTTTTTAAAGGGCGACTAGGGTTTTAGGGGACCTAGTCACCAAATCCTGCGCCACTGTAGAGACATTAGGATTTTTTATTTTTTTGTTTTTATTTTTTTTTTTTATTTTTATTTTTTTTATTTTTTTTTTTTTTTTTTATTTTTTTTTATTTTTTTTTTTTTTTTTGAGTCCAGAGAAATGAAAAATTAGCAACCGCCTTCGCCGGGAATCGAACCATGGACCTGTGGAATACCGGCCCAGCGTGCTACCGTTACACCACGAAGGCACGCTAGGGAAGTGGGAGAAATACCTTATAACTTTTTAATTGCTTTTTTAAGGCCAACAATATTATTAAAATATTTAACGATATTATTCTTGTAATAAATATTTAAAAATTACTTTGATTGTGTAATACTTGATGTTTTTTATCCTTTTCTGCTAATTTAATCATTGTTATTTTTTATGATAAACCATATCTTGTGATATCCCTTCGCTTTGTATCACTTTAGCGACACAGAAATGTTTTTCTGGAAAATACACCTACCTATTAGATACACCACTTACCTATTACAATGTATTTTAGAGGAATTGGCATCTTGTCCAGACCCAGGAAACGTTCAGTATGCGGACAGAACAATCCTTCCAGGTGCAGTTAAACGCGGAGGCCATTTTGTTCAAAATTCAAAAATTCAGTACAGTTGTAAACCTGGATTTGAGCTCATGGGAGAAGATACCATTCTCTGCCTTTTTGATAAAACATGGTCGTCAGAACCTCCATCTTGCATTAAAGGTATGTTGTAAAAATTAATTTCTTAAGTCATTGTTTCTTTGTTTACTTTTGGTATATTACTAATCACGAATTTGGAACCATGAACTAAAATTCATATCTAAAACATATGGCGGAAATTTTGTTCAAAATGAATGCGCATTATTAAAACATTTCAAACATAAGAGGTTTTCTGCCCCTTCTATTTGTGTAAAGTTATTTAATAATGAATGAGTTTCCTTAGCATCTACTACTTACAAAAAAGATAAACCGCCCAACCGGTATAGTGGTTAGCGTCGCTGACTGCCGTGCCGAAGACTCCGGGTTCTAATCCCGGAGAAGGCATGGATGTTTGTAAAAGTGTAGTGTACGTGCGGCATGGAGGCACTCTAAATATGCAACGAGCCGAAAGTCCTCTCGAGAGGTTAGTGGTAGAGAAAGAGGGGTGAGAGATCCTAGGACCCGTCCCCCGGGGCGCTCTTCATCAAAATTGGGGGCGGAACTGAGCTAAATAGCACTGTCACCTGTAACGTGCACAAGACTGTTTCCAACGACAGGCGTAAACTTGCGCTCGTGGACTTAAGATTACTATAGGTCCGACAAGTAAGCATAAGCAACAACAACAACAACAAAAAGATGAATGAGCTCTGCATTTAGTTATTTGACTAAATGCAGAGCTTTGAATAAATTCAATAACTAATAAAAACCGTACTTAATAACACGTTCTTCCTCTTCAGTGCAACAGTTTATTGGTTAATGAAGGAAACAATTAACTGGTACATTGACGAGTTCTTTATCGGAAGTGAAATGACTATCTAATGTTTGTAACAGAAAAGGATACAGGGGTTGGACAAAAATATGGAAACATCTTTAAAGAAACATGTTTCTTTGCTTAATATGGTGTAGGAAACCCGTTGGCATCCAAAACAACTTGCAGTCTTCTCGGAATGGATAAATACAGTTCCTGTATGTTTGCCAAGGGAATATTATACCATTCTTCCTGCAAAACGGTGGCAAGTTCAGATAACGATGTTGGCGGTGGATAACGAGAACGCACTTTCCGTTCCAATGTAGACCACAAAGGTTCGATAATATTCAGGTCTGGTGACTGTGCAGGCCAGGGGAGATGGGACAACTCATCCTCGTGCTCAGAAAACCAGTCCTGGACAATGTGAGCTGTGTGAACAGGGGCTTTGTCGTCTTGGAAGACACCATCACCATCGGGGAACAAAGTTTTTACCATGGGATGAACTTGATCGGCCAAAAATGTTCACATATGTCTTGGCAGTCATGTGCCCTGACACAGTTATCATGGGGCTAGCAGAGAACCACGATATGGCTGTCCAAACCATAACAGAACCCCCGCCATGTTTCACTCTTGGCAACAAGCAGTCTGTATTAGAGGCTTGAGATGGCGTTCTCGATACGTAAACTCGGCCAGAAGTGGGAAACAATGTGAAAGAAGACTCGTGAGACCATATTACTCACTTCCACTGCTCTATAGTCCAGGCTTTATGACTTAAACACCACCTTTTCCTGTTACGGGCATTAGCATCACTGATGAGTGGCTTCTCAATTGCAGCACGGCCAGCAATTCCCTGTATGAAGCTCCCTTCTAATTGTTTTGGTACTCACAGGGTTCGGTAACACAACATTCATTTCAGCAGTAACTTTTGCAGCTGTGGTCTTCTTATTTTTCGTCACAATTGCTCTTAATGATGGTCTGTCACGATCACTCAGGACACACTTTCGTCCGCGCGCTGTGTGATTTAGCAGATGATGTTTTTCGCTTTTCAAATATGCGGAATAAATCTTCGATACAGTACCACTTGAAACACTAAACACCTCGGCTCTACCTTGCTTACGGAAGCACCTACCATACGTGCTCCAACAATTTGCCCACGTTCGAAGTCTGTTAACTCTGACATAATGCAATGACAACCTCACATAACAGTACTCCGACAACAACTGAACTGTTTAGCACATTTACGAAGTTGTATAGGTGGCGTCAGTAGTCAAAAACGCCACCGCCACCTACATGTTTCATTAAAATCAATCTTTCTTTTCAAACATGCATTTCACAAGGTGTTTCCATATTTTTGTCCATCCACTGTAAAACGTTTAAAGTAACATGAAATCGTGGAAGTTTTCCAGATATGCGATAAGCGCAGAGAAAAACACCAGAAAAAATTCTTTCTGACGGTTTCACACCCCCTCATACACCATAGACTGAATCTCCTTTTTTTTTCCCTGGACGCTAGTCTTCACAGAAGCGAGCTTACAATACTGCAAGGTTCGATCTTCCATGACGTCACTGACTCATATTCTGCTCAAAAGTAATTGTTCTCTACTCTCTTTATATCTTTATTTCTCCCACTTCTATAAGTCAAGTAATGCCACTGAACTCGTGCGTTGAAAAGAGCTTAGCCATGCTACTCTACTGTCCTTGCTCAGAAGTATACCCAGCTCTCATCTCCAGTCATGATACTCTGCAGAAATGTTTCCTCTTCAGCTCATGCCGCTGCAGCAGTCTTTTTTCCTTTCAAGTGTCAAATGTTTGCATACTTATCTTATAGGCACTTTACAGGACTTAAACTTGTTAGGAATGACGTGATGGACTGATATATGTCCAATACTAACCATGATGATACTAAGGTTCAACAGTTATAAGGTTACACTTAGATAAGTTGTTTTAGTCATTTAACCATAACAGATGTGGAGCGAGTTATCGCAATGTCTAAGCTCATCGTCTAAGCTCATCTCAAGAAAGGTATAATAACCTTTTTATTTAAACAGAACTTGGAACATAAATGCACGCTTTTGTTCTATAATTACCACAGCTCGTACTGATGCAAATAATTAAAAACGAAAGGGAAACCGCAAAGCTGAAATATTTCAGCCATTAAAGCTTGTAAACGGATCCGGCTTTCATTTGCTTTGTGTTCGGTAATACTGAGCCTCGCGATATATATATAATACATCTATTGCATACGATCTATGGGTCTTAGCTGTTTGCCTAGACGTACACTGAAGTGACAAATGTCATGGGATACCTCCTAATATTTTGTCGGTCCTCCTTTTGCCCGGCGAAGTGCAGCAACTCGACGTGGCATGGACTTAACAAGTCGTTGGAAGTCTCCTGCAGGAATATTGAGCCATGCTGCCTCTACAGACGTTCATAATTGTGAAAGTGTTGACGGTCCAAGGTTTTGGGCACGAACTGACCTCTCGATGATGTCCCATAAATGTTCGATGGGATTCATGTCGGGCGATCTAGGTGGCCAGATCATTCGCTAGAATTGTCCAGAATGTTCTTCTAACCAATCGCGAACAATTGTGGCCCGGTGACATGGCGCATTGCCATCCATAAAAATCCCATCGTTGTTTGAGTACGTGAAGTCCATGAATGGCTGTAAGTGATCTCCAAGTAACTGAAGGTATCCGTGTCCAGTCAATGATCGGTTCAGTTGCACCAGAGGACCGAGTCCATGCCATGTAAAAACAGCTCAGACCACTATGGAACCACCACCAGCTTGAACATTGCCTTGTTGATAACTTGGGTCCACGGCTTCGTGGGGTCTGCGCCACACTCGAACCTTACCATTAGCTCTTACCAACTGAAATCGCGACTCATCTGACCAAGCCACGGTTTTCCATTCGTTTAGGGACCAACCGATATGCTCACGAGCCCAGAAAGTCGCTGCAAGCGATGTCGTGCTGTCAGTTAAAGGCACTCGAGTCGGTCTTCTGCTGGCATAGCCCAAGGAAGACAAATTTCGCCGCACTGTCCTATCGGACACGTCCCTCGTACGTCCCACATTGATTTCCGCGGTTATTTGACGCAGTGTTGCTTGTCTGTGAACATTGACAACTGTCCGCAGACGTCGCTGGTCTCGGTCGTTAAATGCACGTGGTCGGCCACTTCGCTGTCCATTGTGGCATGTTATACCTGAAATTAGATACTTTCGGCACACTCTTGACACTGTGGATCTCGGAATGTTGAATTCCCTAACGATATCCGAAATGGAATAACCCATGCGTCTAGCTCCAACTACCATTCCGCGTTCAAAGTCTGTTAATTCTCGTCGTGCGGCCATAATCATGTCAAAGCCTCTGAACATGAATAACTTGAACACAAATGAAAGCCCTGCCAAAGCACTTCGCATTTATACATTTTCTACGCGATGCTACTGCCGTCTGTATATTTGCATATTGCTATCCCATGACTTTCATCACTTCAGTGTATATTCCCTACGCACGAAACAGGAGACGTGAATTGTCAGAGTATCCAACTTGCTTTCAGTTATCAGATGTCATGAGAGTCCTAACTACCATGTCTAAGCGAGTTTCATAACTCGGTGTCGTTTCCTAAAACCTATACATAATGAAGGCAAGATTCCACAATCGTCACGCTGGTGTTTGGTGAGACTTCCAACATGAAATTCCGATGCTAGTTTGATGCAGTGTTGTACGTCTAGCGTGTGTAACGTTTCTTGGCTGCTAACGCTGATCATATTCATCCAGAATCGTAGGACAGCCTATCAAAAAGTTTTCCTAGATTCTTTAATTATTCTTGAAATGGTCATATGAGGGAAATGCTAACTTCGCCTGATCTATGAAAAGCTTTGACTGATCTCACGAACTCCATGCATTAGATCGCCTCAAAATTCATTTAAATCCTACAATCTTGGCATCCTCAGGGTAGAAATAGCTCTATTTTCAGATGTCTATCACTTTACATATACAAAGATGACAGCAGCCAGATGCAGCATAGGTAACGTTACTATGTATTTTTCATAGGTTCCTATGTATGAATTTATTGATCACTCCACTGTGTTCGCAAGAGATGAAGAATTAACCTCTTAACTAAATTTTCAATAGCTTTGATTATTTATAAGATTTTTAATTTAAAAGTATTTCGCAGTATAAATAGAAACTTCACCTGATGTACACAAATTAGTTAAAAAGGATACTTTTGACGATATTCGTGAGTACAGAAGAATGAAATATGGCTTAGAAGAATG